CACGACCTGTTGCATGAATGCACTCCTGTTGTGTACCCAGCCCCCAAATATTCCTCTTTTTCATGACCAAACTACGCCCTGATAACTAAATCCACCCCACCTGCCCCAAGGTACGACCTCCAGTCGGTGATCCTATCACTCTTTGAGCGTGGTGGGGTGGGTTGGGGTCGAACCTGATGATCTGGGGAGGTCCTTCCCAACCCTAATGATCCTCTCCATCTCAACCCAAGCCTGATTCAGACAGACAAACCATGTCTCATTGCTTCTATCAGCCCCAAAGCACATCCTGGTGGATAAACCCCACATCCAAATCAGCCCCAAAGCACATCCTGGTGGATAAACCCCACTTCCAAATAAATCCTGCTGCCTAAATCCACCCCAACCTTACCTGGGACATGCCCTCCATGTCCAGCTGGACCAGCTCAGCCTGGTTGAACTGCAGCAACGCCATCCCCACACGGAAGACAATCTCCAGACCCTGTAGGATGAGGTCCAAATCATCACCTTTCCCACCCACCCAGTCAATTTTGGGGGGGGTTTCTCCCCCACCCCCCAAAAAAACAGATGGTTTCTGCAGGGGAAACGTGGTTGTGGTCCCTTTGTGACTTCAGGTGTTTGCTGTGGCCTCGTTACCTCGTACATAAAGATGTCGAAGACACGTGTGGCCACGGGCAGAGGGAAGGTGGTGAGGAAGAGGGTGAGGAACCACGAGGAAGCATACATGGAGGTGAGGAAGCTCTGCGAGCGGAAGTGGATGTTCAGCTCTGGCAGCTGCTCCTGGAGGTGAAAAAGGAGAAAAATGAAAAGGACGTGGGGGGGGGGGATGGTTTTAAGGGTCATGCTGAGCTTTGAACTTGTGGAGGTCCCCCAGGTGACTCCTGGGGGTCTCAAGGATGTCGCTCATGGCACCCTGTGGATGGTCCGTGGAGCATTGGAGGGCACAAAAGGTGTCTCAAGGCTACCCAAAGGGTCCCATGGGTGTCCCTGGGTGCTCCCAGGTTGTCTCACAGACACGCTCGGGGTCTCAAGGATGTTCCCCTGAAGACTCATGGATGTCTTGTGGATGCCCCCCATGGTCTTGTGGTCCCCAGAGCTTCCTGTGAAGTTCCCTGGGGTCTTGGGGATGCCCTCAGTGTATCCGGGGACAACTTTTGGGGTCACACAGATGGTCCCCAGGGCATCTTGTGGACGTCCCTGGGGTCTTACAATCCTCAAGACACCTCTGTGATGGTCCTCGAGGTCTCAGGGATGTCCTCAGCATGTCTCATGGACATCTCTGGGGTCTATCAGATATTCCATTGAGTTCATGGACTGCCCCTGAGTGTCCCAAGGATGTTCCCAGGATCTCTGGACGCAAGGAATGCAGCATCCCCCAGGAGATACCAGCCCTCTCCTGGTCCTTGTCCCAGTGAACTGCTGCATTTGGGGGAGCCACGGGCAGCACTTACCTGCAGCATGTACTCAAACTGGTAGATGCAGAGCCCCAGCTCGGCCATGCTGGGTTTGAAGAGCTCCCGCAGGCGGTACTCCTGCATCAGCCTCACAAACACACAGAAGGCCTCTTCCTCAGGCATCTGGGGGACACAGCAGGACGCAAATCCCCTCCTCAACATCCTGCCATCGGCTCCAAACTCAGTGCTTTTTCCCATCAGGTGATGGGATGCACTGGGACCAACCTCCAGTTTGGGAATGGAGGGGGGATTTTAAACCCACGCAGAGCACAACCAAGCAAAGCCAACCTTGTTCTGCTGGTACAAACCTGCATGAGCAGCAGTCCCACGATGAAGGCGCTGCCTTGGCAGTACCCAACCTCCCGGTCCACCAGTGAATAGGCCTGAAAGGAGTGGGAAATTCAAAACAAATGTATAAGGAAAGCAGAAGATCAGCTGGGCAGCCGTCCCTGGAGCGCAGCAGTGGAAGGAAAGCTGGAGCATTGAAAACAACTCATCCAGGGAAAAAAAACCAAGCCAGGGATGGTGGAGACGTTACCTTCATGACGTTGAAGAGCACCTCTTGGCCCAGGCTGTCCTGTCCCTTGAAGAACTCGTGCTCCGGGTAGGTGCGGGCGATGTCCCTGCGGATGAGCTTCTCGCAGGGGGAGGACATCTTGAGCAGCTCTGAGTATTGGTTTTTGACGGGCATGTCGGTGGCACTGCAGAGCAGCTGCCACACGATGGCACGGAAATGGTGGGGGATCCCTTTGCGGATGAGCTCCTGGGGGAAAAACGGGGTGAAAAAAAATGGGTTTGGAGGAGATGGAGGAGCTTCGCATGGATGGGGAGACACCGACAGGCGCAGGAGGGTTAGAATGTAATAGGAACAAAGCAACGTTTTCCACCTTCAGCAGCTTCTCCTTCTTCTTCCTCCACTCGTCCCACTCGTTGACGATGCGGCCCCAGAGGATCCAGGTGTCCTCTTCCAGGTGGCTGAGGTTGGAGGAGGCCGAGGAGCTGGAGACCAACGAGGAGCCGCTGTTCCTCCGCGAGCCGTTCATGGAGCGCATCGACTTGGAGTCAGCCTCCAGCAGCCTGAGGGAGGGACCAGGCAGATCCAGATGAGCCCCAAAGGAACACAAAGACCCCCCCAAAAGAACAGAGTTTCCCCCAAAGTCACCCTGAAGAAGGAACTGTCCCCACCGAGCCACACCAGAGGGGGAGACGCGTCCCCAAAGCACCTCAAAATAGGAGATATTCCCCCAAAGTCACCCTAAAGGAAGAGGGATTTCCCCACCACGCACCAAAAGAGGAGATATTACACCAAAAGATCTCAAGAGGAGATATTTCCCCCCCCCAGGCCAGCCTAGGGAAGGAGACACTCCCTCATAAATCACCCTCAGGGAGGAGTTATTCCCCCCCAAAGCACCTCAAAGGAGGAAATATTCCCTTCAAAGGAAGAGGTTATTTCTCCCAACCTGCTTCAAAAGAGGGGATTTTCTCCCCAAACCACCCCAAAGTGGTGGAGATGCTCCCCCAAAGTGCCTAAACAAGAGAGATTGTCCCCAAACCACTGCAAAGGACGAGATATCCCCAACAGAGTCACCCTAAAGGAAGAGAGATCTCCCCACGACACCTCAGAAGAGGAGATATTCCCCCCCAGCAGAAGAGATATTTCCCACAGAAAGCAGAAATATTTCCCCCAAAGCACCCAAAAAGGGGAGATACTGCCCCCAAAGCCACCCCAGAGGAGAAAATACTCCTTCAAATACCCCAAAAGAGGAGATACTGCCCCCAAACCACCCCAAAAGAGGAGATTTTCCTCCAAAATCGCCCTAAAGGAGGAGCTATTCCCTCAAAACACATCAGAAGAGGAGACATCCCCCCAAAATACCCAAAAGGAAGAGATATTCCCCCCCAAAGCACCTCAAAGAAGGAAATATTCCCTTCAAAGGAAGAGGTTATTTCTCCCAACCTGCTTCAAAAGAGGGGATTTTCTCCCCAAACCACCCCAAAGTGGTGGAGATGCTCCCCCAAAGTGCCTAAACAAGAGAGATTGTCCCCAAACCACTGCAAAGGACGAGATATCCCCAACAGAGTCACCCTAAAGGAAGAGAGATCTCCCCACGACACCTCAGAAGAGGAGATATTCCCCCCCAGCAGAAGAGATATTTCCCACAGAAAGCAGAAATATTTCCCCCAAAGCACCCAAAAAGGGGAGATACTGCCCCCAAAGCCACCCCAGAGGAGAAAATACTCCTTCAAATACCCCAAAAGAGGAGATACTGCCCCCAAACCACCCCAAAAGAGGAGATTTTCCTCCAAAATCGCCCTGAAAGAGGAGCTATTCCCTCAAAACACATCAGAAGAGGAGACATCCCCCCCAGAATACCCAAAAGGAAGAGATATTCCCCCCCAAAACACCCTAAAGGAGGAGCCACTCCCAATGAATAACCCAAAAAGAAGAGAGATCCCCCCCAGAACACTTCACTGCAGCATCCAAACCTGCTATTTCCCCCAGCCAGACACTGACTGATGTCCTGGAATTGTTTCTTTAACGAATTTGCCTCAAAATGGAATTGCAATGTTCTTTTTTTTTTTTTTTTTTCTTTCCCCAAGAGCAAATTTGCTTAAAAACAGCTTTCCGAAAGAATTTGCATTTCAGAGCTTTGATTTTCAGTGCGTATCACTGGTTGAATGCCAGGGATGGAGCTTTTTTGCCTGGTGCTCTGGCTGATGGAAGCCTCAGGGCTCGCTTCCCATCAAATGGAAGATAAAGCAGAAGTGAAAAACACACCAGCTTTGCTGCTGGGTTTATAAATTTTTATTCCCAAACTGCTGCCTCCTGCCAGGGAATCCCATTTGCCCACCAGAATGAGCACAACCTTGAGAAAACCCCCAGTGGGAGCATTTTCACTGTGGTCTGAGTGATGCTTGGGATTAGAGGGACAGAGAATCTTAGAATGGTTTGGGGTTGGAAAGGACCTTAAAGATCACAGAAGCATGGAAAGATAAAATGGCTTGGCTTGGAAGGGTCCTTAAAGATCACAGCATTATAGAATGGTTTGGGTTTGGGTTGGAATGGATGTTAAAGCTCAAAGAATCATGGAATCATAGAATGGGTTGGGTTGGGTGAGACCTTAAACCATAGAAAGGTTTGAGTTGGAAAAGTCCTGAATGATCACAGGATCCTAAAATGCATTGGGTTGGAAGGGTCCTTAAAGATTACAGAACCATAGGATGGGTTGGGTTGGAAAGGACCTTAAAGATCATAGAGTCAGGGAATCCTAAAATGGTTTAGACTGGGAGAGACCTTAAAGATTGTAGAATGGTTGGGTTGGAAGGGTCCTGAAAGATCACAGAACCATGGAATGAGTTGGGTAGGAAAGGTCCTTAAAGATCACAGAATCATAGAATCCTACAATAGTTGAGGTTGGAAGAGTCTTTAAAGATTATAAAACCATAGAATGCTTTTGGTTGGAAGGGTCCTTAAACATCACAGAACCATAAAATGGGAGAGTTGGATGGGTCCTTAAAGGTCACAGAACCACAGAATAGTTGGGTTGGAAAGGTCCTTAAACATCACAGAACCACAGAATCTAAAATGGTTAGGCTGGAAAGGAACTTGAAGATCACAAAACCATAAAATCTTACAATATTTTAGGTTAGAAGGGACCTTAAAGACTGCAGAACCATAGAATGGTTGAGTCGGAAGGGTCCTTAAAGGTCACAGAACCATAGGATGGGTTGGGTTGGAAAGGACCTTAAAGATCATATTGCTGTGGAATCCTAAAATGGTTTAGACAGGGAGAGATCTTAGAGGTTGTAGAGGGTTTGGAAGGGTTGGAAGGGTCCTGAAAGATCATAGAATCATCAAATTTTATGAATAGTTTAGGTTGGAAGGGTCCTGAAAGATCATAGAATCATCGAATCCTATGAATAGTTTAGGTTGGAAGGGTCCTGAAAGATCACAGAACAGCAGAATGGGTTGAATTGAAAGGGTCTTTAAAGCTCATAGAACCATAGAATGGTTGAGTTGGAAGGGTCCTGAAAGATCATAGGACCATAGGATGGGTTGGGTAGGAAAGGTCCTTAAAGATCATAGAACCACGGAATGGTTGAGTTGGAAAAGTCCTGAAAGATCACAGAATCATAGATCCTATGATAGTTTAGGTTGGAAGGGTCCTGAAAGATCATAGAACCATAGGATGGGTTAGGTAGAAAAGGTCCTTAAAGATCATAGAACCATAGGATGGGTTGGGTAGGAAAGGTCCTTAAAGATCATAGGACCATAGGATGGGTTGGGTAGGAAAGGTTCTTAAAGATCATAGAACTATAGGATGGGTTGGATAGGAAAGGTCCTTAAAGATCATAGGACCATAGGATGGGTTGGATAGGAAAGGTCCTTAAAGATCATAGGATGGGTTGGCTAGGAAAGGTCCTTAAAGATCATAGAACCATAGGATGGGTTGGATAGGAAAGGTCCTTAAAGATCATAGGATGGGTTGGGTAGGAAAGGTCCTTAAAAATCATAAGAACATAGGATGGGTTGGATAGGAAAGGTCCTTAAAGATCATAAGACCAAGGATGGGTTGGATAGGAAAGGTCCTTAAAGATCATAAGACCAAGGATGGGTTGGAAAGGTCCTTGAAGATCATAGAATCATAGGATGGGTTGGGTAGGAAAGGTCCTTAAAGATCATAGGACTATGGGAAGGGTTGGGTAGGAAAGGTCCTTAAAGATCACAGATAACACCATTTAATTTTAAAGGAAATCTCTGCCCAAAAAAATAAAACAAAGGATGAAAAGAAGACCAGAACTCGCCTGTTTTGCTCCTCCAGCTTGGCCAGCAGCTCCAACTCGTCGGGGCTGAGGTTCTCAGAGTCAGAGGTGGGCGAACACGCCGGGGCCGAGTTGACAGAGGAGAGGCCTTCATGGGACGACGAGTCGGGGCTGACGGCCGGTGACGCCATCGTGGGGATTTGGGGTCTCACCTGGAAGCCAAACGACAGCATTAGGAGGACAGGACCCCCCTCTCTTTATTCTCTTGCCAACATCACGACATCTTCCTGTTTGAAGCTCAACTTGATGCTTCAAATCTCTATGAAAAGGAATAATTTCAGTTAAGCCACAATGCGAGCATCGCTTGGGTTGTGATATTCACTTAATTCCCTAAAAAAATGCCCAAAACATTCAAGCCCAATTTTCACGTCAAGCCACTTCCAGGAGCATCATCCTGCACTCGCTGTAAATTAGCCTGATTAAATCAGGCTAAAAAACTGGAATTAATTAAGCTCAATGTACCCTCATCTGGGGCCAGCGTAAGGAGAGATGCCTTCGCCGTGGATTTGCTGTAGGCGCCGAGCAACGTTGAGTAGTTTGCCCATTCTGGTGGTTTTTTAGAGAAAAATGTCTCCCTGGAGAGGAACGAGGCTCATTTTAGAGACTGGTGGAAATGGGGGTGGGAAATGGCAGATTGGTGGATGCTGCAAAACGAGGGGTTCTGACATCACCCCCATGGGATTCGCTGCAGGATCGGCGAGGATTGGGATTTCTCAGGGAAGCTCCAACTCTTTTTTGGGGTTGAAAATGTCCCTTTTGTTCAAAAAAACATTGCCAAAGATTGGCAAAATGAAGCTGTGTTCACCACCGGGACCAAAGGGGATGAAGGAATGTTTGGAATAGAAAAAAATGTGACTGCTGTCAGCGGTCTCAGTGGAAAATTAGATGTTGGTGATCAAGCAGAGGTCACAACGCAACCTATTGGGAACCAACGGGCCATGAGAATGCCCAGAAATGGCTTTTTAGGAAAAAAAAAATACGTCGTTTTGATGGGAGGGGAAAGAAAAAAAGCAGATGAGCACAGGCTAGCAAAAAAATGCATCGTTTCAACTCAAAAATGAGGTGTGAAGGTCATGGTTATCGGAGCAAAACCGCTCCCCAAATTGGTGGAAATGAAAAAAAATGCAAATATTTCGGATTTTCTTTTTTTTCTTTTTTTTTTGGTGGGGGGGAGGAGGGTGAAATCGTGGCGATTTTGTGGTCTGGGTGCCATCCTTTACAACACAGGGTGATCCATGGTGTGTCCTGGGATGAGGAGCGACAGAATTTGCTGAAAACGTTGGAATTTGGAGGAAAAAACCCCACCACCACGAAGTGTCACAGAGCAAATTTTCAAAGCAAATGCCCCAAATTTCCCCCCTGTTGAGAAACGTGGACCCCAAAGGATCCAGACAAGGGGTTTATCCTGAAGAAATTGAGGAAAAGTGGTGAAAATGGCCCCAAATTTCCCCCCTGTTGAGAAATGTGGACTGTAAAGGATCCAGACAAGGGGTTTATCCTGAAGAAATTGAGGAAAAGTGGTGAAAACGGCCCCAAATTTCCCCCCTGTTGAGAAACGTGGATCCCAAAGGATCCAGACAAGGGGTTTATCCTGAAGAAATTGAAGAAAAGTGGTGAAAACGGCCCCAAATTTCCCCCCTGTTGAGAAATGTGGACTGTAAAGGATCCAGACAAGGGGTTTATCCTGAAGAAATTGAGGAAAAGTGGTGAAAACGGCCCCAAATTTCCCCCCTGTTGAGAAACGTGGACCCCAAAGGACCCAGACAAGGGGTTTATCCTGAAGAAATTGAGGAAAAGTGGTGAAAACGGCCCCAAATTTCCCCCCTGTTGAGAAACGTGGACCCCAAAGGATCCAGACAAGGGGTTTATCCTGAAGAAATTGAGGAAAAGTGGTGAAAACGGCCCCAAATTTCCCCCCTGTTGAGAAACGTGGACTCTAAAGGATCCAGACAAGGGGTTTATCCTGAAGAAATTGAAGAAAAGTGGTGAAAACGGCCCCAAAATCACCCTGGGGTGGCACTGCCAGGCACCACCTACAGGAGATCATCCCCAAAAAGGCATCGGATGACAACAGTTCCAAATTTCCACATTTCCCAGCGCCGCAGAGTCCTCAAATTCCATCAGTGCTGCCATCAGTTCCCCAAAAATGCCATCATTTCAGCTCAGCTCCGTCCCAAAAGCCCATTTTCAGGAGGCCATCACAGCACTGATCCAAACCTGGCTCCTTTCGGGGAGGAAAATCTCAGCACTTCCACTTCACACCCACCAAAAAACGTCGTTTTGGGAACCATTTTCCCCAGCCTTTCACCTTTTTCCACGCCGTTTCCTGCCTCTTCCACACCTTTTTCAGTGTTTTCCACACAATTCCGTGCCTTTTCCACACCTTTCTCAGCGTTTTCTGCTCCTTTTTTTCTGCCTTTCCCACGTCGCCGTGCCTCTCTCCCACCTGTTATTTCTCAGCGTCTCTCGGCGCCGTTTCTCACCTTTTTCACCCCATTTTCAGGTTGTTTTCGCAGCACCTCCTGACGTCGCTTTGCTCTTTTTTTTTTTTTTTTTTTTTTTTTTTTTTTTAATTGTCATTTTTTTCTTTAATTATTTTTTGGTGCCCCGTTTCCAAACCTTTTTTTCAACCTTCTGATTTTTCCCTTCCTGCTTCGAAGTTGATCAAACCCATTTCCAGAGGTCGACGCGGAGGATCCACGGGTTTTTTGTGTTGCTTTTTTTGTTTATTTTGCCAGAAAATCCCAACGATTAACACATAAAAGGAGACGGATGAGGCAAAGAATCAACGAAACCACAAATATTGCAGCAGGAAATCACTCGGAGGTCGGTGGAAACAGAAAGAAAAACGCCTCAAAATGGGTTTAAAACTGTGGTTTTGCTGCCGGCAAGGACGAGGCAGGTGTCTATTTTACACCACAACCCCCCTCCAAACGCCACTGCTTACAATAATATCCCAAACCCACCCCCAAAAATGGGTAAAAATGCACCAAAACAGAGCAACCCACCCTGCCCCCCCCCCCTCCATCTCCCCATTTTCCATAAGCACGGCACGGTTGGTGATTTTTCTGCATCCCAAGGGATGAAAGCAGCCCATAAAGGGGCAGATTTGGGGGCTTTGGGGATGATTTGATCAGATAAATGAGATATTCCTCCCCCCTCTCTCCCCCCCCATCCTCATCCACGCCGCTGACAGCGGTGGGTATTGAAAGCAAAGCCCTGAATGGAGCAAAGAAAAAAAGGGGGGGGGGGGGGGGGTAGGAATAAAAGGAAAAAAGGAATAAAATAAAACAAAAAATTTAAAAAACGAGGTGAGATTTGAAATGGCGGGGATTTTAAAGGGGGGTTGATGGGGTGGGGGGGTTGGGGGGGGGAAGAAGCAGTGATTTGATGTGGGGTCACCCCCCCCGGCGTTGCCTGAAATGGGTGGATTTAAACCCAAAAGGAGAGGGAGAGGCGCGGCACAAAGCAGCAGCTCCATCTTCAATGCAGGAAAGGAGGGAGGGGGGGCCACACAGGGACCCCCCCCCC